AACATCCGATGTTAGCAGTTAGGGGAGGAAAAAAGGCGAAGCTCATCCAGAGAGAGAGAAGCTGAGTAAGGGAGCCAGGCCTCCCGCCCTAGGGGAGTTGAAAGGGAGAAAAAGGGAGATGAGCAGTTCCACAGAAGGACAGGGGAGGTGAATTGATCTGGACGAGGGAACAGAACAGGCTGAAGGCCAGGAGGAAGCACAGAGTGGGAGACTCTGAGAAATTGGACCAGTGATTGAAGGCGGGAAGGCACCAACTGGCCAAGTGGAAAGGGACAAAGAGATCTGGACTCTTGCAGCCCTTTTGAGGGAAACACTTTACAAACATATATACAAAAGACCCATTAAAGAAGCAATCTTGAATAGAATAGAGCTGGAAGGGATCTTGGAGGTCTTCTAGTCCACCCCCCTGCTCAAGCAGGAGAACCTATACCAGTGATGGTGAACAGTCTCACTTCATGGCTTTTGCAACGTGCAACCATAACTGACAAGCCCCATTACAGTTCTAAATTGAAGACGGCTGGTATGCTGGCTGGGAAAATGTGGGGATCAAAATCTGGAGCACAACAAAGAAGGCTGAAACTCCGTATATTGAATTTTCATAATCAGTTCTTTTACTGCTCTCAAGCACTTTGGGAAATAGGTTGACCCTTCTTAATGCATCAGCCCCTCAAATAACGAAAGACTATCAGGTCACCCTTAGTACTTCTCTGCATCAAATTAGAGATATCCAGTTCCTCCAAAAGCTCATCCAATGTTTTAGTATCCAGTCCGCTAAATATCTTTTTTTAAACAAAATTTTATTAAGTTTATATAGATGAGGATAAATAGGAACAATACAGGTATGGTAAAGGGAGGAGTGGGAGGAAAGGGGGAGGGGAAGGAAATAAGCAATTAGGGTAAAATAAGGATAGGTACACTCACATATTTCAACAAACAAGCAACCGTCCGGATCATAATAATGAGTAAATATCATATTCAACCATTTTTAGCAAAGCTTTGACTGTAACATATTAAAAACAATTCGTAAACAAATACGTTGATCTATTAAGTAAACACTACTAATAAAAAAATCCTAACAATCAAAAGTAAATCAGTAAAAGTAATCATATCATCAAAATGTTAGTTAGAACTCGATTAAAAATCAGTCATCTATTCTAAAATATTGAATCCTTCAAGTTCTAACGTATCTCTAACCATTGATAAAATTTTCCCCAAGTTCTAAAATAAATTGAATCATCTTTTTCTTTCATTTCTAATGTTAGTCTATCCATTTCTGCACACTCTAAAATTTTGGTAATAATAATCTGGTCAGATGGTACATTCTCATTTTTCCAAAATTGGGCAAATACTATCCTTGCAGCAGTTAAAACATGCAATATCAAGTAGTCATTCTCTTTACTATAATTAGGTCTTAATATTCCTAACAAAAACAATTCTGGTTTAAATTCTGTCTGTAGTTTCATCATCTTTTCCAACCATCTATGGATCTTAGACCAATATTTCTTAGTGATAGGGCATGTCCACCAGGCATGGTAATAAGTGCCTGGCTGTTGTTTACATTTCCAGCAGATATCCGAAACATTTTTAAACATTTTTGCTAATAGTCCACTAAATATCTTTGTTGCTCTTTTCTGCACTCTTTCTAGAGTCTCAACATCTCTTTTTGTATCGTGACCAAACCTGGATGCAGTCTTTTAAGTGCAGCAGTGATTCAGTAGTAACACTTCATGGGATCTTGATACTATCCTTCTGATGATGCAGAGCAGGACTGCATTCACTTTTTCTGCAGCTGCATCGTGTTGCTAGCTCATACTTAAGCCGTTGTCCACTGAGAGTCCTAGATCCCTCTCACAGTTATTGCTGTTGAGAAGGATACAACCTCTTCTATAGATGCGCATTTGGTTTTTCATGCCCAAGTGTAAAACCTCATTTTTGTTCACCATTGAACTACATTTGCTCTAAAGGGCCCAGTGTTCCAGGTTTGACTATCCACCCCCCTTCTCTCCCTTCATCTTAATCACTTATGAAGATATTGAAGAGTACTAGACCTAAGAGAGAGCCTTGGGGTACCCCACTGCATGCTTCCCTCCACATATATTCAGTTCCATTGAAGATGACACATTGGGTGCTGCTGGTCAGCCAGTTACGATTCCATCTGGTGCTGCTGCTATCATCTATCTCATATTTTTCCATCATACCAAGAAGTATTCTGTGGTGTACTTGTTTGCATGTGGAGCCCCTAAATGATTGCCAAATTCATCCTATATACAGAATAATGAAATACGGTGCAAACCTGGAAGCAGGCTACCATATTGGTCCCCATCCACATCTAGTCAGGAGATACAGGTCATCCTTGACTTACAACTATTTGTTTAGTGACCGTTTGAAGTTACAATGGCCATGAAAAACGTGACCTGTAACCATTTTTCATTCTTAAACAACTGTTGCAGCTTCCCCCTGGTCATGTGATAAAATTCAGATGTTTGGCAGCTGCCATGTATTTATGACAGTTGTAGGGTCATGTGATCACCTTTTGCAACCTTCTGCCAAGCAAAAATAATGGGGAAGCCAGATTCACTTAACAACTGAGCAAAAAACATCATAAAATGGGGCAAAACTCACTTAACAACTATCTTAGAAATTTTGGCTGAGTTGTGGTTGTATGTCAAGGACTCCCTGTAATACCTTTTTGTCTTCATTCTTGCAGAGCCTAAATCTCCCTAGAGGACAGAATTGCTGTGAGCAGCTCTGAGCAGCCTTCCCAGTTTCCAGAGGAGATAGATTAGGGGTGTCAAACTCAATTTCATTGAGGGCGGCATCAGCATTGTGGTTGCCCTGAGGGTGTGTGAGCTACTGGGTGGACGTGGACAGAGTGGGTGTGGCCTATTGGGTGGGCATGGCCAGCTCTACATCGTTTGCATCAAGGGTGCCTGTGGGGGCCTGGGCAGGTGTGGGGCCGATCTGAGGGTCTCTGGCAGAAGGGGGTGGGACCAGGGCAAGTGCCAAGGCATGGTCCACTGGAGGAGCCTCACTGTTCCTCTCAGGCCATGTGGGAGGGAAGAAGGTGGTGCGGGCTGCCAGCAACCCTGGGCAGCAGAGGTCAAATGCCCAGCCTAGCCCTTGAGCGCCTGCGGCACCAAGCCCAGCCCCACTATCCTAAGGGGGTGCCCAGCTGCAGCACAAAATTGTACATTGGCTCCCAGCTGACCTGGGCCAGGGCCAAGGCAGTGGGGGCCATTCCCTCACTGTTTCCAAGATGGCTTTGTGGACCACATGAAACCACTTCGCAGGCCGCATCTGGCCCCCGGGCCTTGTGTTTGACATGTCTGACTTAGATTATTCCCAGGCAAGCGCCTAGGACAAAACTTTGGATGGGCAAGTTAGCAGAAAGCCGATGTAAAGATTCCTGCGCTTTCTTAGGGGTGACTCTCAGTGGAGATCAAAACGGTTCTACACCCCAAAACTTTATGACTGATATTCCTGTGGCTCCCAAGGATTTAGGACAGGGCAGCACCATCAGTTGAGATGCTACAGAAGAGCCATCTTCACTCCTGCCGGCCAGGGCTGCATCCAACAGCACCCACCATGAAGCTTCATTCCTGAAGGAGGAAATTTTACATCTGCTGAATGCTGAATGCCATGTGCGTCTGTAAATTTCCTTCCACAGGAAGCCTCCATTAGGTCACAGAGAGGGAAAAATATGCAGCAGGGCCTAAAAAACGGGATCTAAGAAAGAGGGGCCGATTATTTGCATCTTAAAAAGAAAACAAAAGGGAAGACTAGAATATTCTGCCAAACTGCAAGGTCGACTGATCACCAGGTTAAACTTTTTAGAAGGACACCTTGCACTGCCATTTTTCATGCAGGTCTTATAAGGTATGGATGGTGATAGTGGCCATTTCAGCTATTGGCTCTGAGCTCTGTTGCATGGAGGAATCTGGAATAAAAGAACCCCAATGTATATTTCATTGATTCCCTTTTCATTCAAGAACTCATGATGACATACAAAGCACTTCCTGTGTGGCATAGTGTAATTTACAGAGTAAATGTCCACCAGACAGCCTGCCTGCCTACCTCCCGAGACATACTTTTCCCCTCTCAATATTCCATAGCTCCTGGAAGGAGTCTTCATGCCTAAGCTAACACTGAATTAGAACTCGCGGCTTTCCATCCAGCGCCCCTGAGCCTTACACTGGATATTTGTTTCTGATACCTTCAAGTCAGTCAAGTGGATTCCTGCTTAGGCCTAGGCCTGGTAGGATTGGCCAAAGTTGCAGAGATGGCTTAGCAAGTAAGGCGGGACTGGAACTGAGCATTTCCCAGTCTCTACCCTGGTGCCTTTATCAGCACACCCAGCTAGATCTTCTTCCTCCCCACAGAATCCACCCATTTGACCTCTTCCTGCTGCTCCCAACAGAAAATTCAAGGCTGCAGCTTTCAAGATCCAGTCCAACCTCTTTGCAATCGGCTCCCCCTTACTCTCCAGATAACAGATCTTTTTCATCTTTCAATCTGAGCTTTAGACTTTTTTGTTCAGGAAATGGAGCGATCCTCTGATTGGGGTCTGGTGGCTTCTGGCCTGGCCCTGTGGAGCAGCTCCTCTGCCTTTGGGGTTGCCTTTTATTTCGCTCAGTTTTGTTAACCACATAGTGTTAGTACGTTTTTTGTATGATTATTATTGTAAAAGTAGTTTTTTTGGGGGGGGGGAAGCTGTTATTCTGCTAGTTTCCTTGTGTCAGTTTTAATGTGTCTACTTTGATATTGAAATTCAATTAGTATTTATTTCTGCTCTGCACTAAATTCAATCAATCAATCAGAATAGAGCTGGAAAGCACATTAGAGGTCTTCTCGTCCAATCCGCTGCTGATGCAATCAGAATGTACCATTTTAGGTAGGTGGCTGTCCACTCTTTTCTTAAAAACCTCCAGCGATGGAAACACCTGCAACCCTTTTGAGGAATTCCACAAGTTCTATAAAAGAAAACAGCCAGAAACCTCTGCTGATAATCAGAAACAAGTCATTAGCCTTTATGAAGTTAACAATTTCCATATTTTTTCTCTACACCTACAGTTATAGTTAAGCAAAGCATGGTACCAACCATAATTGGTAGGTGCCATTACAATTGTATCCCAAGGACTAACTGTACACTAGTTGGGGAATTTCACAACTTCTGCAAACAGAAACATCCAGAAACTACAGCTGATAATCAGAAATAGGTAGTTAGTCTATATCAAACTAATTTTTTCCATATTTTTCTTTCCACCTTCAGGTCTAATCCTGAGATCTGTTGATTAAAAAGAATCAAGCCAGAATTGAAGTAGTCAATTTCTCACCTATACTCTCAATGGAAAATCAGAAATGAAATTCAAGATTTCTCTAAACTCATCGTTTGCTTCATGTGCACCTCCTTGTGTGCAATAAGAGATGATTTACACCTGAAGAATCATTTACAGATTGAACATTTCAAATGTTTCTCCCCTGTGTGATACATGATGTATAAGGTTAGACCTAATACTGAAATCTTTTCCAAAATCTGGACACTTTTACGGTTTCTCTCCTGTATGCGTCCTCTGGTGTTTTACAAGCAAAAAAGCATAACTAAAACTTTCCCCACACTCTGGACACCCATGCGGTTTCTCTCCTGTGTGAGTCCTCTGATGTGTCACCAGGTGGGAATTCTGACTGAAACCTTTCCCACAATCAGGAAATTCAAAAGGTTTCTCTCCTTTGTGAGTCCTCTGATGTCTCACCAGGTTGGAATTTAGACTGAAACCTTTCCCACATTCAGGACATTCAAAGGGTTTCTTTCCTGTGTGAGTCCTCTGATGTGTCACCAGGTTGGAATTTAGACTGAAACCTTTCCCACATTTAGAACATTCAAAGGGTTTCTCTCCTGTGTGAGTCTTCTGATGTCTCACTAGGCTGGAACTGTGTATGAAAGATTTCCCACATTCAGGACATTCAAAGGGTTTCTCTCCTATGTGAGTCTTCTGATGCCTCGCTAGGCTGTAATTGTGTACGAAAGATTTCCCACATTCAGGACATTCAAAGGGTTTCTCTCCTGTGTGAGTCTTCTGATGCGTCACTAGGCTGGAATTGTGTATGAAAGATTTCCCACATTCAGGACATTCAAAGGATTTCTCTCCTGTGTGAGTCCTCTGATGCGTCACTAGGGTGGAATTCTGACTGAAACTTTTCCCACATTCAGGACATTCAAAGGGTTTCTCTCCTGTGTGAGTCCTCTGATGCATCACTAGGCTGGAATTGTGTATGAAAGATTTCCCACAATACAAACATTCAAAGGGTTTCTCTCCTGTGTGAGTCCTCTGATGTTTCACCAGGTTGGAATTCTGACTGAAACGTTTCCCACACTCAGAACATTCAAAGGGTTTCTCCCCTGTGTGAATACTTTGGTGATTCACCAGAGAGGAATAACGAAAGAAACGTTTCCCACAATCAGGACATTCAAACGGTTTCTCTCCTGTGTGAGTCCTCTGGTGTATCACCATGGGGGAATTTTGACTGAATCTTTTCCCACAAACTAGACACTCATATGGTTTCTCTCCTGTGTGAGTCCTCTGATGCACCACCAGGCTGGAATTTTGACTGAAACCTTTCCCACAAATTGGACACTGATATGGTTTCTCTCCTGTGTGAGTCCTCTGATGCACCACCAGGTTGGAATTGTTTATGAAAGATTTCCCACAATGCAAACATTCAAAGGGTTTCAATCCTTTGTGAGTCCACTGGTGGTTCACCAGGTGGGAATTTGAAATGAAACTTTTCCCACAATCCGAACATTCAAAGGGTTTCTCCCCTGTGTGAGTCCTCTGGTGTTTCACAAGGCTGGAATTCTCACTGAAACTTTTCCCACAATCAGGACATTCAAACGGTTTCTCTCCTGTGTGAGTCCTCTGGTGTATCACCAGGCTGGAATTTTGACTGAATCTTTTCCCACAAACTGGACACTCATAGGGTTTCTCTCCTGTATGAGTCCTCTGGTGAATCACCAGGCTGGAATTTTGACTGAAACCTTTCCTACAAATTGGACACTCATATGGTTTCTCTCCTGTGTGAGTCCTCTGATGCACTACCAGGCTGAAATTATTTATGAAAGATTTCCCACAATCCAAACATTCAAAGGGTTTCAATCCTTTGTGAGTCCACTGGTGGTTCACCAGGTGGGAATTTGCAATGAAACTTTTCCCACAATCCGAACATTCAAAGGGTTTCTCCCCTGTGTGAGTCCTCTGATGTATCATAAGGTTTAAATTCGCAGTGAAAGATTTCCCACAATCAGGACATTCAAAGGGTTTCTCCCCTGTGTGAGTCCTCTGATGTCTCACCAGGCTGAAACTGCGACTGAAACGTTTCCCACAAACTGGACACTCCTGTGGTTTCTCTCTTGTGTGAGTCTTCTGATGTATCACCAAGCTGGAATTGTTTATGAAAGATTTCCCACAATCAGGACATTCAAACGGCTTCAATCCTTTGTGCATCCTCTGATGTATCATCAGACTGGAACTGCGGCTGTAATATTTCCCACAATCCGGACATTAAAAGGATTTCTCTCCTGTGTGAGTCCTCTGATGTCTCACCAGGTTGGAATTGTGTCTGAAAGATTTCCCACAATCAGGACATTCAAAGGGTTTCTTTCCTGTGTGAGTTCTCTGGTGTATCACCAGGCTGCATTTCCGAGTGAAAGCTTTCCCACAATCCGAACATTCAAAGTGTTTCACCAGGTAGTAATTTACAGTGAAACTTTTCTCACACACTGGACACTGCTATGGTTTCCCTCCTGTGTGAATTACTTTGCTTGGTAAAGCATTTACCACATTGGGAGCACTTATAGGGCATCTGTCCTGCATGGGTCCTGTTAAGAATCACAAGGGAGATATTTTGACCAAAGATTTTGTTACATTGGTAGCATTTGTATGCCTTTTTTCCAGTTTGGATTCTCTTGTATGTAATCACCTATGCTTTTGCAATCTGTGCTTTATACCACAATAGTGACATCTGTGGACGTTCTCCACCACTGATATGCTGGAAGAAGTCAAAAATGTGTGTGGTCCCTTGTTTAGTGGTGCTTTGATTTCACCTGTTTTCTTCCTCCCATTGGGAGGTCTGCATTACTGTCTGCCCTATTTGAGTATCCAGTTGACCTTTTCTTTCTTATTGACTTCCAGATATTTCCCTCTTTTTCTGAATGGAAAAATGATCCCTTTCATCTTGTCATGTACCGTGTTCTTCTGTTCTGCATACTCTACTATTTCCAGCTTGAAATCTCTTCTTGATTTTCTCTTGCCTTTCGCCTGCTGGGATGGGAGAATTTTGTAATTTTCTGAAGGAAATGGAAAATATTTTGATTTCTGGCTTGATTTGCTTTCCCTTTCATAAGTTATTCTCACTTCTCCAGAGTGCTCTTATTGCCATCCTCTTTGTCTGTAAGATTCAAAGAAAAATATAACTTTAATTGTTTATACAATGCTTGCAGATGTGAAAAAAAAGGAAAAAGCATACATTACATTTAAAAAGCAAACAATGCTAACCTCTTACATTATGATTCATCGGACATTCCAGAAATTCAAATTCAAATATCCCTTAAATCATGAAATTCCCTTGACTTGCATCAACCATAAACTGTAAGTGCAGCTATGGGCTATCATAAAATATATCTGGAAGTCTGGGATATAGATTATACAATTGCAGATATATGGAAAGAGTAATATAAATACACATGCCTATATCTATGTAGAAAATTCATGTTTTCAGCCTGAAAAAGAAAAAAAAGATTACTGTCAAATCGTCTGAGCTAGTTTCTAGAGATGTGGGGGCTTTAACTGATGAAATGATGCCTAAAGCCTCTGCAAGATTTGCACATGGGAGTTTACCATCCATTTAGACCAGATGGTCCCAATGGTTTGGTTTATAGAACAGTGGCCACAAGCAGAGCCTTCTCAGAGACAGCACCCCCATTATAAAACTTTCTCCCAAGGAAAATATGAATAGTGCAACCCTCACCCAACTCCAAACACACTGTTCAGCCAGCCATATGTAAAACAACAACACATTTTATGGTCAAACAGCACTAAGTAAATTACTACTACTATTTTTCTTTCTTAAAATACATACTTTTAATATTGTTTTAAGCGGCGCTAGTGATGCTTTACAATAGCTGTCTTTGAGAGTTTTCATGGAAACCACCCTGGATTTCTCAGAAACTTTTAATTTCAAATTAGATGTTGATTTAGTAAATTAGGCAGAAGAAACAAATGTATGAGAGACAGAGAGAGATCCCATTTTTGTAAGTTTGCTTACCCTGCAACTCCCTGCTGGCTCTCTCTCTCTCTCTCACACACACACACACACAAACAACACATAAACACACAGGTTAATAAAAAAGAGGAGGGGGGAGAAAGGTGGAAGCTCTCCTTTTTTTGTAAAACCTTGGTTTCCTCCTCCCCTCCTGGCTCTCTCTCTGTCTGTCTCTCTTACACACACACACAGAAACACACACACACCCTTCCTGTTTTCTCCTCCTAGTCCTTTTCCTCAGCTGTACCTGAATGGAGTGGGAAGAAGTTAAAAAAAAGAGAAGGGGTGGAAGAATAGGGGAAGGTTTCCTTTTTTGTAACACCTTGGCTTCCTCCTACTCCTCCACTCCTGACCAGGCCTGATGGGGTTAAGCTGGGAGGGGAGGGGTGGGCTAAAGTAAATGAGCTGCTGCTGCAGCCCCTGAGAACTCCCATGCTCCCAGGCACCCAGCTGGGTTGCGGTGGGCCAGGGCTGGGGCAGAAGGGGCTGGTCACTTGCCATTTCTGGGACAGCCTGGGGGGGGGGAAAATCTGGGCCCTCCCCAGGATCTAAACACAAGCTCTCCATGAAGCATTTTAGTCCAACAACTGAAGCCTCTCTGCAGCCCAATCAATAAACTGGCTCTTCTGCAAACCAGTCTCTGTTCCCCCAAATGCCCTGCAGGCAGTTATTAGAGTTCCCGGGCCTGTCCCTTGACCAAAAATTCTGTTATCTTTCTGAATATTATCACAGAACCCCTTGATCTTTTTGGAAAGTTATTTGTAAAAAACAGTGGAAAGCTTCTTTTTCAGGGTAGATTATTCAGACCTTAAAAGAACTAAAATTGAAAACCTCCACAGACAGGGCTGTTCACTGACACGGGCAGAGAGAAACAGGGATGCAGCAGTCACCAGAGAGGGAATCTGGGCATGTAAGAGAGGCAGATTCAGGAGCTCCATCCCAAAGGAGTCCACCTGGACAGGGCTGCCCATCGGCCAAACCCACCTGGACGCCTCTCGGGTCTCCCTCACCCGCCTTCCAGACGCCCCTGGCCTCCTCCTAGCAGGGTTCCCGCCCACGCCTCCAGCCACGCTCCCTCTGAGCTCCCCCGTCCTCTTCCCCTTCCTCCCCTCCAGGCAATGGGAGGCCACGGGGGAACGTGGGAACGGCGGTGCCCAACCTTCCGGGAAACGCCGGGAGCCCCCACGCTGGGAGCCGGGCTGCGCCAAGAGGAGGGGCTGCGGGGCAGGAGGGGGGCTGTTCCTCTGCAGGCCTTAAGCGAGTCGCTCTGGGTCGTTGAAGGCAATTTCACGTGACTGCGACTTGCAACCTCTTGCCAGCCTCTCCAGGGATTTTGCTTAGGAGAAGCTGGCTGGGAAAGCCACAAACGGGGATCGCGAGGCTGGGATGCTGCGACCGTCACGGATGTACAGCGGTGGGCAACGTCCGAACCGAGCAGCCCGACTTGCTCCCGGCTTCTCCCCCGACCCGCCCTCGACTCACCTTCCAGCTGCTGCTTCGACCCTGGGAAGAGCACAAAAGCGCCCCCCCCCGCACTCCTCCTTCCTCCCCTGAGCGATCCGGAAGAGGAAGTTGCTCTGATCTTCTCTTCGCCTCCCATCCTTTCTAGCAATGCAGTACTCGATGGTTGCAGCTCCTCTTCCTTCCACCATAGAGGCAGATGCTGCCTATCTGACCGTCATCTTGCGATAGGAGGCCGGAAGTCTCGCTTGTCCCGTCTCGGCCTTTGGCGTCTAGAGAGGTTTTCGCTGATTTATCTGCTCTCCGGTGGTTTCCGCCTCCCAGCGACCGTCCTTTGCAACTGAGCCAAGTGAAACAGCGAAAAGTGACGATGCTACTTAGTTTACAAAGATTAGCTCCAGGCTGAGCCCTAGAAGTGTGTGAAGTTCAAATAGAAATACAGACTAAGAGTTGTAACTCTCCAAGCAAAGACCTTACTTACACCATTCTGGACAAATGGCTGTCCAGTCTCCTCTCAAAAACCTCCACGGATGGAGCACTCGCAACTTTTAGACGGAAGCTGTTCCACTGATTAATTGGTTTCATGGACAGGAACTTTCCCCTGAGTTGTCTGTTGGATCTCTTTTTGATAAATCTCCCTTCAGTTTGTTCTTTTACTGCTCTCAAGCACATGGGGGAATAGGTTGGCCCCCTCTTAATGTGTCAGCCCAAGTACCAAAAAACTGCTATCAGGTCACCCTTAGTCCTTCTCTGTGTCAAATTAGACATATCCAGTTCCTCCAACCGCTCATCCGATATTTTAGCATCCAGTCTGCCTAATATCTTTGTTGCTCTTTTCTGCACTCTTTGTCAACATCTCTTTTTGTATCATGACCAAACCTGGATGCAGTATTTTAAGTGCAGCAGTAATTCATTAGTAACACTTCATGTGATCTTGATACTATCCTTCTGGTGATGCAGAGCAGGACTACACTCACTTTTTCTTCTGCTCCTGCGTGGAGTTGCTAGCTCATACTTAAGCGATTGTCCACTGGGCATCCTAGATCCCTCTCACAGTTACTGCTGTTGAGAAGGATACAACCTCTTCTATAGATGCGCGTTTGGTTTTTCATGCCTAAGTGTAAAAACCTCATTTTTTTCACCACTGAACTGTATTTTGCTCTAAAGGGCCCAGTGTTCCAGGTTTGGCTACCCCCCCCCTTCTCTCCCTTCATCTTGGCTCAGTTGCAAAGGACGGTCGCCGGGAGGCGAACAAGACCGCAGAGCATATATATCAGCGAAAACCTCTCGCAGACTAGTTAGAAAGGAAGGGAGGCGAAGAGAAGAACAGAGTCACTTCCTCTTCCGGATTACTCAGGGGAGGAAGGAGGCGTGGTGTGTGGGGGTGGGGGCTTTTGTGCTCTTCCCAGGGTCGAAGCAGCAGCTGGAAGGTGAGTCGAGGGCGGGTCGGGGGAGAAGCCGGGAGCAAGTCGGGCTGCTCGGTTCGGACGTTGCCCACCGCTGTACATCCGTGACGGTCGCAGCATCCCACCCTCGCGATCCCCGTTTGTGGCTTTCCCAGCCAGCTTCTCCTAAGCAAAATCCCTGGAGAGGCTGGCAAGAGGTTGCAAGTCGCAGTTACGTGAAATTGCCTTCAACGACCCAGAGCGACTCGCTTAAGGCCTGCAGAGGAACAGCCCCCCTCCTGCCCCGCAGCCCCTCCTCTTGGCGCAGCCCGGCTCCCAGCGTGGGGGCTCCTGGCGTTTCCCGGAAGGTTGGGCACCGCCGTTCCCACGCTCCCCCGTGGCCTCCCAGTGCCTGGAGGGGAGGAAGGGGAAGAGGACGGGGGAGCTCTGGGCTCAGAGAGAGCGTGGCTGGAGGCGAGGGCGGGAACCCTGCTAGGATGAGGCCAGGGGCGTCTGGAAGGAGAGGCGTCCAGGTGGGACGATGGGCAGCCCTGTCCAGATGGGCTTCCTTTGAGATGGAGCTCCTGAATCTGCCTCTCTTACATGCCCAGATTCCCTCTCTGGTGACTGCTGCATCCCTGTTTCTCTCTGCCCATGTCAGTGAACAGTCCTGTCCGCGGAGGCTTTCAATATTAATTTTAGTTCTTTATGAATTTGAAAAAAGAAACTCTTCACAGTTTTTTACAAACAGCTTTCCAAAGAGATCAAGGGGGTTGTGTGATTATATTTAGAAAGATAACAGAATTTCCGGTCAAGAGACAGTCCCGGGAGCTCCAATAACTGCCTGCAGGGCATTTTGGGCAACAGAGACTGGTCTGCAGAAGAGCCAGTTTATTGATTGGGCTGCAGAGGCTTAAGTTGTTGGACTAAAATGCCACCTGGAGAGTTTGTGTTTAGATGATGGCACTCTTTCAAAATTGGAAGGGATGTCACATAGAAGAGAGGATTTACCTGTGCGCCAAAGTGTCGTAGAGCAGAACAAGAAGTAACAGATGGAGACTAGAATTAGGAGAAAGTTCCCAGTCGGTGAGAACAATCAATGAAACAGCTTGCCTCCAGATGTTGTGGGTGTTTCATCACTGGAGGTTTTTAAGAAGAGATTGGACAGCCATTTGTCAAGAATAATATAGCTTTCCTACCTAAGCAGGGGATTGGACTAGAAGACCTCTGAGGTCTCTTTCAACTCTCATTATTCTCTTGTGGACCTGTTGTTTTCTTGGCAACAATATCAGACTGAAACTGCCACTATTTTTTTCTGGGATTTTTATTTTTTTACTTCTATTTATAGCTAACAAGCACGGTATTTCCTATTGGCGCCCCATACTTGTATTAATGAGGTTCAACTGTGCTTAAGCCAGCACTTCTGAAAGAATAGCTATGGAAGACCTTTCAGGATGTTCAGTTGTATAAGTTGTCCTCATTTACCACATCTTCATTGGGCCTATGATTATGAAAATGCAGGAAAAGGGAGTTGCACTAATTCGGATGTTGCTAATTGTTGCGTGTTTATGGTGGCTGCAGTATCCCACATTCATGATCCCCATCTGTGACCTTCTCAGCTAGCTTCTTACAAGCAAAATCCATGGGTATACCAGCAGGAAATTAAAAGCCACAGTCATGTGAAATTGCCTTTAACGACCCATGGTTATTTGCTTAGCAAGTCCAGAAGAACAGATGTAAGTTGGCACTATTATGCTAACATCATGCTTAATGATCAGGCTGCTTAATGACACAGATGCCAGTTCCAATTGCAGTCATTAAGTGAGGACTACTTCAATTGGGATGTTAGCAGAGAGATTGTTTAGAGTAGTTTTTGCCCTTATTTGCCCTTATTTGACTTCCATGTGCAAATCTTGCAGAGGCTTTAGGTATCATTTCATCAGTTAAAGCCCCCACACCTCTAAAAATTAGCTCAGAAGGTTTGATAGTAATCTTTTTTTCTTTTTCAGGCTGAAAACATGAATTTTCCACATAGATATAATTATAGGTATGTGTATTTATATTACTCTTTCCATATATCTGCAATTGTATAATCTATACCCCAGACTTCCAGATATATTTTATGATAACCCATAGCAGCGCTTACAGTTTATGGCTGATGCAAGTCAAGAGAATTTCATGATTGAACGGATATTTGAACTTGGATCTCTGCAATGTCCGATGAATCATAATTAATGTAAGAGGTTAGCATTGTGGCATTTTGCTTTTTAAATGTAATGTATACTTTTTCCTTTTTTTTTCACATCTGCAAGCATTGTATAAACAAAGTTATATTTTTCTTTGAATCTTATAGACAAAGAGGATGGCAATAAGAGCACTCTGGAGAAGTGAGAATAACTTTTAAAAAGGAAAGCAAATCAAGCCAGAAATCAAAATATTTTCCATTTCCTTCAGAAAATTACACAATTCTTCCATCCCAGCAGGCGAAAGGCAAGAGAAAATCAAGAAGAGATTTCAAGCTGGAAATAGTAAAGTGTGCGGAACACAAGGATAGGTTACGTGACAAGGTGAAGGGGATCATTTTTCTGTTTAGAAAAAGAGGAAAATATCTGGAAGTCAGTGGGGAAGAAAAGGTCAATTGGATACCCAAATAGGGCAGACAGTAATGCAGAACTCCCAATGGAAGGAAGAAAACAGTAGGTGAAATCAAAGCACCACTAAACAAGGGACCACACATGTTTTTGACTCACACAGGAGAGAAACCATGTGAGTGTCCAGTTTTGTGAGAAAGGTTTTGCTGTAAATTACTACCTGGTGAAATACCAGATGACTCACACCGGAGAAAAACCACTTGAATGCCCTGATTGTGGGAAATGTTACAGCCACAATTCCAATCTGGTGACACACCAGGGGACTTATACAGGAGAGAAACGCTTTGAATGTCCTGAGTATGGGAAAAGTTTCATTGCAAATTCCCACCTTGTGATACACCAGAGGACTCACACAGGAGAGAAACCCTTTGAATGTCATGAGTGTGGAAAACATTTCAGTCTGAATTCCAGCCTGGTGAAACACCAGAGGACTCACACAGGAGAGAAACCATATGAGTGTCCAGTTTGTGGGAAAGGTTTTGCTGTAAATTACTATCTGGTGAAACATCAGATGATTCACACCGGAGAGAAACCCTTTGAATGTTCTGATTGTGGGAAAAGTATCAGTTCCCGTTCTAACCTTGTGATACACCAAAGGACTCACACAGGAGAAAAACCCTTTGAATGTCCTGAATGTGGGAAAAGTTTCATTGCAAATTCCCACCTGGTGAGACACCAGAGGATTCACACAGGAGAGAAACCCTTTGAATGTCCTGAATGTGGGAAAGGATTCACTCAGAATTCCCACCTGCTGATACACCAGAGGACTCACACAGGAGAGAAACCCTTTGAATGTCCTGATTGTGGGAAAGGTTTCAAGAAAAGTTCTAACCTGGTAAACCACCAGAGGATTCACACAGGAGAGAAACCGTATGAGTGTCCACTTTGTGGGAAACGTTTCATTGCAAATTCCCACCTCGTGATACACCAGAGGACTCATACAGGAGAGAAACCATATGAGTGTCCAGTTTGTGGGAAAAGTTTTATTAGAAATTCCGACCTAGTAAACCACCAGAGAACTCACACAGGAGAGAAACCCTTTGAATGTTCTGATTGTGGGAAAAGTTTCAGTTACCGTTCTAACCTTGTGATACACCAAAGGACTCACACAGGAGA